ATAGAGAGAGAGAGAGAGAGAGAGAGAGGTTATGCATTTTTGTGACGGCCACGCATAATCTCAACTCCGCAATCAAATCGTCATGCAGTGAAATCTTCAATAGAGTTGGGTGAACATTGCCTTTTACTCTAGCTCGACGAGAAGGTGAGGGTGAAAATATATAACAGTCGAAGTGGGAAAACATGGAATAACACCAAGAGGCTAACTCAGGATAGAGAAAGGTGGAAAGTTTTTGTTCGTGGCTTATACCCTGGTGCAGGTTGAGAAAAGCAATGACGATGTTGATGAACCTTCTCTCACGACCACCTGTCCCAAACAATCCCCTGTACAAACGACCAGTTTCCACTTTGCGTTTTTTTTTTGTGGTTATGTTACAGCAAGACTCTCCTAAATGACCACCTGTCTGAGATGACAACTTTCCTCCTCAACAATTGGTGGTTGTCTTGGACATGTAGTCATGTCGATGAATGTATTTGGTAAAAGGAATCGGATTTAAAATTGTGATTTGGTCAATATTCGTTTCCTCTTTTTGTGAACATCCTCAATTCAGCATTGTCAAACATTAAACTCACGCTGAAAAACAAAACCAAACCAACCCCCCAAACAAACAAAACAAACAAACAAACTTTCGAAAGACATGTAAACCGCAGAACTATTCTGCTCTACACCCAGGTAGACTGCAGCATGGTTATCTGAAAACAATACCTGAACAGCGGAGCAAAGACCTTAAAAAAAGACAACAATGCCGTTGCTTACCCGTCTTCCCATTCTTCTGGTAGCGCCATATTCAAACGATGTCCTTGACCGATCCACAGAGTAGTCGGATCTGGGAATCGGCCAAACATAGCTTTGGTAATCATTATTAGAATCGGCGTGGCTAACAAGAGAAGAGTCAATTCCGTACTCTGTGTGGCAAATGGAAGAGTCGATACCGGAGTCTGTGTGACCGCCAATGCCTGCCAGCGACTCCCGAGACTCGTCCGCTTCGGTGCTGTACCAACTGTCCTCCGCACACGCGCCCTGTACGATTCCCACGCTCATTGTATCCGGATCTTGCTGGATACTTGTGCGACGATCACGCCAAATGTACTGTGATGGGATCAGGAACCGGTTCCCAACAACCGGTATAATGACAACCGATACGAATCGCGGACTCAGCCGATGTGGCGGGCATTTTAAGGTCACATTTAGCCTGCTGACGTATCGTCGTCTGTTCATGTCCTGGCAACCTCGAGATTAGGAGCGTGGAAGGAGGAAAAATACGTCGTTTTTGGCGTTTTCATTGTTCGTGGTGTACGGAGATTCCACTTCAGCCGAGACCACCAGCACCACCAGTGACGTCACACACATTCCAATGGGCAAACACAACCGGAAGTCTTTTTGTCCGCGTGCATATTTTTTTGTTGAGCTACGAAACACCGGTTGACTAGAAAACAAAAGGTGTCTTATCCACATCGTATCTTTTTGATT